TATCATAGCTGTCCGCTGTTTGAAAGGGTTGACTTTCAAAGGGCCTTCTTAATGGTAGTATTTTGTGGTCCTGATTCCAAAAAACTAATAGGAAAAAAATTATGTAAGTGAAGGACATGGCATATTAATAAAAATAACCTATTAGAAAGGAAAAACATTCTCAGTTTTCACCTAAAATGGTCGAGAAGTAATTGGATCAATTAGAATGTTTCAATTGTCATTGTACTTAAAAAGATTCAGACATGGCTTCTATTACTTGCGTTATTGTTTATGTTAGCAGCTTCTCTATAGTCAGTGTAAGTTGCTGAAAGGTGTTCAGCTGAGGTCCTCCTGTAAGTGCAGAAAGCCAGCCGAGCACAGACCAAAAGAATCAACACGTGTCTGCAGCATTTCCGCAAGGCATGTCAAAATCAGCATTTCCCCAGCCATTTTTTACGTCCAAAAATACAAACAGACTCACTTATCCACAGGCTAAGCTCCCACACACAGCTTTTAAAGACCTCATTAAGAAAAAGCAAATTGCTTCCTCCCCTCCAACTAAAAAGCTTTCTCTTTAAAGGCTTTTTCAAAATTCAGTAATAAAACACCTTAACAGATTAACTTGGATGAAACTCTTTTCACGTGGAGAAGGGTTGGCGGGTCAGTACAGCCACACACAAGGCGGTTCTTCTGTCATTTGACTATCACGAAGAAGAATAGCAAAAGACTATGAATTTTTTTCTCTCTCATTTGGAAGTTATTAGTAGACTTCCCTTTGTTCCATTGAGAAATGAGAGAAGAAAATATGAAGTTACAGTGAACCCATATGGCCAGCAGGAAAATCCTATTTAATTGCTTTATTGCCAGAAATGTTAAATCACTTCCTGAGGATACAGTTCAAATGAAACATATGGCAGCTATTAACAAAAGCCCCTAATGAATTCAAAAATACGCTTTTTATGGGAGCGTTCTCATAAGCAGCAGTCGTTCGTGTACATACCAATATGCATGCGGTATTTTAATTCCACAAATGTTTGATGAACACTTACTCTGTACCAGACTATGCAGCCAGCTCGCATGAAATGCTTCTTTCCAAGCAACAGACATGACACTAATGAACCCTCAGGACATGGACCCCAAGCCCAGCTGTGCCTCTTCTGGGAGGTCAAAGGCAAAACAGCTCGTGACCAACACCTCCTTCCTGAAGGTTCAAGTTTAAGAAAACCATTTCATTTCCCCCTGGGTAGTCCTAATTATCTACTGTATTTCTACTTCTTTCATGTCACACCGGTGATGATGTTAATCCTTGTCATTTAGCATCCGCTGCATGGGACCCTTTATCTTTTCACATAGCTTCTTCAACCGGGTATCCATTCCACAAGGAAGAAAACTTTACTGAAGTTTATTGTTTGTAGAACAATGGGAGGCATGTAATAAGAATTAATAAATAGCTTTAATTAATTGAAAACCAAATGACACTATTTTTTTAATGCCTTTCACCCCCTGGAAAATTTCACAAATTTAATCAATTATTTATAGGCCATATTTTAAAGACACAGTTCTTCTGCAAATCCAAAGATAAATTAGCTGAGGTACACCCAGATCTTATTACTGTGTGGTTTTACTTTAAAAGAGAAGTTATCAGATTCTGGTTACATCAGACTTTGACTTGCTTTGCTCCACATCGTAAATATGGCCCCTGCCGTTATTTGATGGAAGTAAGCTTTGGCAGCTTAAAAAATCATGCAAATCGTGGTAAGATTTAAAGCAACTGACATTGGCTGTGGGGAGGCTAAAATCTTTTTGCTTCATAGTGCAAGTCATTATCATTTTTATTAAATATTTACTTACACACGCTCAGTCACATACTTAGTAATCAAATAGAATAAAATATGGAAGGCCTGTCACTGGTCTACTTGTACTTTGGAGCCAGACATTCAATCTGCCTAAAATGCCTTCACTGTAAGAAGAGAGGGCTGGCTTAGATTTTCTAAATGTCGAGTACAGTTATGCCTGCACAGATGCTCTGTGACCTAGTCAGCATGTTATTGTGGGATCTCTTCAAACCTTCTCCTCTGTGGTCTTTTGAAATAAGTGGTAGTGATCTCAGAGCCCAGTGTATCAGTGGCCGAATCCTACCTTCCCCAACTGATTGTGACCTCACAGAAGTCGCTCTGATTTCCAGGACTTCCTGGGATTGTTCTAAGGATCGAGTGAGGTTATTCGGGTAAAAGATGAAAACTGTACCTTGTTCACACTAAGAACTTGGTAGTAAGTGTTAGCTATTCACAGACTGAGGAATTTTCTTACTAAGCATCCTTTAATTACCTATCGCCAACCTTTACAGTCTTGTCAAAGAAAAGGTTTCTGTTTTGTTTTGTCTTTATTTGCTTTTCACAAATGGGGAAAGTTAATTTAAAAGCTGCGATCTCCAGTTAGGGGAGAAATCCAGGAGTTAGGCTTAATACATAACATAGTATGCATTCAATTCCATTGTTATATCCTTTCCTAAAAGACACATAAAAACTGAACAAGTATCACCAAAAACTGGAGGATAACTTTCCTGTAAAAGTACAGAATAAGAGTTCTCCTAAAAGGAAAGAAAAAAATAGGATGACCCCACTATAAATGAAAGAATACCTAAAGGCTCCTCAGCCCCCACCCCCCGGCCTGCCCAGCCTCTGGCTGTGTTGCTCCAGGCCACCACTCCATCACCTGACAGTCTCTTCACAACCATGTCTCTGTCAGGATGCAGAGTTGATGGAGACACCCGGAGAACAAGACGTGAACAATGACACACAGACTGAGGTTAAGTCGAAATATACTTTCACTGAAGATGAACCTTGCCAAACAGAACCCCCTCAATTTTCTTATCCATAGAAAGACTTTTTCCCCTATTTGAAAATGACATCAATCTCCAAATCCTATAAATTCCAAAGGTGAGGATCTCCACAGTACTAAATATCTCACAAAGGTACAAGCGTCTTCATGTTTGATATTTCTGGAAATCAAGGTTGATGCTATTGCCTGGGGCTGATCTATAACAGAAGTGCACTGAGCCCCCCTCCCCCCTCTGCTCTCTCTTCACCTCCCTCTCTCAGCAACATTAGTTACCTGTTTGAGTCTACTTTTCCTACCCTGACTGTAAGGACTTTGTTCCTTGAGAAAGGGGAGGAGCTCCCCTTGTGGATGTCTTGTGCGATCCGTGTGACTGTGCTGAGGGAGGCGTCACACCCCAGTGGACCGGACAGGGTTATAAAAAGGGTCCGGTGCAAGCTGCCATCCTCATGCTGACTGTATTTGATACACCAATAACTGAGGTGAATGGGAAACGGATGCTCAACGTCCTAACATTTTTTAGAGTCTCCACAAAGAGCAGAACTAGACATTAATACTATAAAGTCTTTTGTATGCATCTCATCTAAACTCTATTTTTTAAGTAATGATCTTGATAGATAATGGTTGCTGGGAAGTGAACTTCCAAACTTCCCATGTCAGAGAGATTTAGAACTATTGGCCCAAAGCCCATGGTAACAAACAGTGAGAACAGCTACCTTTTCCTGAGGGCCTTGCATGCTTTCTGGAAGCTACTACAGTTTGTCCTCTCGGCAGCCTTGCAAAGTAGGAGGGATTTCCCTGTTTATAAAGGGAGATTCCAAGCCATAAGAGACAGGGCAGAAATTTGAAACGTCAGAGATCAAATAATTTACATTTTCTGCTTCCGAAAATAGGACAAAACAAAAGAACTCCAAAAATTCTACCCGAATTTAAAGAGTATTTTAGTTCTCATTTATTGCCAATATTTTTTAAGGGTGATGTGAGTATATCTTCAGAGAAGAAGATAATTATATGATGATTTAGAATTATCATAGCTGGATAATTTACTGATAGTTCCACAACTCTCATTTTTCTTTTCAGCTTTATTAAGGTATGATTGACAAGTAAAATTGTAAGATATTTAAAGTGTCCTTTGTGGTGATTTGATATACGTATATATGTGTATACACTGTGGAAGAATTCTTCACATCTAATTAATTAACACATCCATTACCTCAGATATTTACCCTTTTTTGGGCGAAGACATTTAAGTTTCCCTCTCAGCAAATATCAATGACGTATTACAATGTTATGAACTACAGTCACCTTGTTTTACTTCACATCCTCAGACCTTGTTCGTCACACAGCTGGAAGATTGTACCCTTTTACCAACCTCTCCCTATTCCTCTCATTGCCCGCTCTCTGCATCCACCCCGCCCCGGGGAGCCACCACCTCCGTGCTCTCTCATTCACTTTGCATAATGCCCTCAAGGTCCATGTTACTGCAAGCGGCAGGATTTCCTCCTCCTTCCTGCATAAATACCATTCGATTATATCTATCACACCCATATCTGCACCCTTGTGTCCTCGGCAACATTAATCACAGCAGCCAATCTATGGGTAGGAGATATGTAGACCTCCATCCTCTTTTGGTTTCATTTGACTCTATACCCAGAATAGAGTCAAGTAGAATTGCTGGATCATACAGTGGTTTTCTGCTTTTTCAACTTTTAAAGTATTTTTGTTGTTGACACTATTACAGATGTCCTGTTTTCCAACCCCCTTTGCCCACCCCCACCCAGCCCCCACCCTCCATACTGTGTTCCATGGCGGCAGCACCAATTTACATCTGTACCAGCAGAGCACAAGGGGTCCCCTTTCCCCACACCCCCACCAACGTGTGTTATTTCTTGTGTTCTGGGTGATATCCACTTCCCAGGCTTTCCAACGAGTATAAGGTGACATCTCACTGTAGCTGTGATTGCATTGCCCTGGTAGTTAATGACGTTAAGAACCTTTTCACGTCCCCATTGTCCACTTAAATGACTTATCTGGAAAACATAAATGTCTATTCAGATCCTCTGCCTTCTTATTTTCGTATTCCCAAGTTCTATTTAATTTTGCTTCATTTTCTTCCTACTAATGTTATTTGATACTTCTTTCTGATAATACCAGAATTATATGACTTTTCTTTTCTTTTTCAGGCTATTCCAGGTATTTCAGAAAAGGAAAAGGCTGGTAAGTGGATATATGGTTGTGTTTCCCTACCTATCTAAACTTTCATCTTCATAGACATCTTATTAAATATCTAACATGTATAAATCTCACCAATCTTTGGACAAATATTATTGTTGAATTACTGAAAAATGCATTGTGTTGCTCAAAATGGAAGGAAAAAATGGGGTTTTCTGATGTAGCATTTCATCCTGTTAGAATAAGATTGTGCTTCTTGTAGCCCTACTACAACTTGTAACAACAACCACAATGTTTTTCTTGAAAGAAAGAATATGATGTTGTTCAGTATGGTCTTGGAAATCAGTTGTTAATAGTTGTCAAGATTGATTTTTTAATCTTTAGCTTATTTAGTAGTCATAGAAAAAAATGTACTTATTTAAAGCTGATGCTCTACCATCAAAAATATCATTGTAAAGCAATATGAATAATTGTATAGAAAAAATTATACTATTTGTATGCTCTATGTGATTGTTATAACTATTTAATGGTATGGAAAATGGATAAGGACTGATGAGAAACATAGACTATGAATAATTAGAGCTGATTTGGTAGGATTATGCTTTTCAAAAGACCTGTTGATCTTCCTCGGTATTGTCTTATGTTTCCTGTGTAATAACAATCAGTTTTAAAAACACAGATTAAAGGTATGTTTTCAATCTTGAAGCACATACTTAGTTCTTAGACATTTGTGACTTTTAAGAGCTGTACTAAAAGTGTACAGTATCATCTAAAAGAAGGTGTTATGGCTTTAATTGACTTTATAGTGAAGCATTGAAGTTTGATATGATTTTTATACAGAGGATGTTTTCTTTCTAGTTCAGTGATCTTATTTTTGCTACTAGATGGCTTTCACATAGAAGTTTTTATGGTTTGTCTCCTTCCTTTGCTAAAGTTTTCTCTTGTGTCAGGCTGTTTCTGATTTCTTCACTCTCATAGGTTGAAAGGTAACCCTTCAGAATAGAAGGAAAATACTGAACTGACATCACATGTTAGTCAGTTCCAGAGGAAAACTGTCCAATTTAACAACGCAGTGGCACTACGTGGAATAGTCGCAAATATCAAACAAAGTGAAATTACAGCTCCAAGGCTCTAACGTATATCTCAAATAGATTGTGTTAGCTATCTAGTTAGGACACAAAATCAATGGTTATGTGGTTCTTTGGATCGCAAAGGAAAAGGAACTTAGCCAAAGTCCTGCTCTGTTTTTGGTTGTGACATCCTGTGTAATCCCCAGATTAGCTGCAATTTAAACCAAGTATGTAACAGGCAAAATTGTCATCTTGTTCCAGAAAATCAGCAACCTCTCTCATACCCCAAAAAAGAAATTAAGATGTGAATTCTTGGCTGCTAGAGAAGGGGAAAAAGGGATGGAAATGCCATTGTTTGAGGGGATGGAGAGCCAGAGAGTTACCTTCAGATTGATTAGGAGAAGCGCTTCATTTTGTCATGCTTCTCAAGTATTTGAAATTCGTATTTACTACAACAGGGAACTGATTAAACAGAGGGTATAAATATAATGCAGCTACCATTTTTTATCGTAATCCTGGAAGTTTTCCTCATCAAGAGCAACAACAAAAAAATTGTCATTCTTTATTTAATATCCCTTTGGGTCATTTCTATACCACTGGGCACAAATGCAGTGTTAATAAATGTTATTCACAGGGCTCCACAAGATGGTTTCTGAAACTGAGACCCACCAATCAATATATATTGTATGGACCTACCCAGGTCCCAGGCACTTAGACCTCAGATGTTTAGCCTCCGATGGAATGATTGGAGCACAACCTGGCTTCTGTATCTTAAAACATTAGAATGATTGGAATTTACTCCAAAATGGATTTTTATTTAGATTTCTTAGGAATGTGCTAATTTGTTTAGAAAGAAATATAATTTTGTTTGGTAATATAAACACAAGAAAGAAGTTACTTTTTAAATTTTTTAATATTTTTTTTTAGAGAGGGAGAAAGAGAAGGAAAGAGATATCAGTGTGTGGTCGCTTCTTGAGCACCCCCAACTGGGGACCTGGCCCACACCCCAGGCACATTCCCTGACTGGGAATTGAACCAGTGACCCTTTGGTTTGCAGGCTGGTGCTCAATACACTGAGCCACTCCAGCCTGGGCAGAAATTATTTTTTAAAAAGTATCAGTGAATTTGTGTCAAAATGAAGGCTTATTTTTTATTATCTAATTAATAATGGTAACAGATTTGACAATTCAAGAGAGAATATGATTTATTCCAAAAAGTTTCAAGGGATCATAGCAGTCTGAGTGATCTAATGCTTGTATTCCTAAACTTTATTATGCCCTATTTAGAATATTAAAAATCTTTCAGTGTTTCACATGCAAATGCAAATCTCTTTATTTCTATCTTTATACATGTCTATTTTTAAGCTCTGCTAGATAGAGGAATGACAATGAAGGCAGAGGACTCACTCAATCTTCTAGAGGTTAATTGATCTCTTAAATAGGATTAAGCTTCATACCCACCCCTAGGGCCTGCCATTTTTTTTTTTTCAGTCTTGCTAAATGAATGTAGCCTATTGTTCCTTATTAAAACAGCCTATTTTTAATCTGTGTGACCTCTCATCTAAGCCAACTGGAACCAACTCCACCAGCCTTTGTGAAGCTCTAAACAGAATCATTTTGGTTCCATTCCATTAATAATTCTTGAATTGCAGTTGTATGATTGTCCCTGTGTGTCCTCTAAGTGAACATCTATTCTGATCCATGTTGCTCTGTAAATGAAGCCTCATGGAAGCTGTTTTGCTGCTCGTCTCCCACTGTGCGATGGCAAAAAACTCCTAGGGGAAACAGTTTTGAAACAGCCTCATATTGGTTCATTCATTCCACAAATGCTTACTGAACAGGAACACGTACCAGGCATCACGCTCGGTTCCGTCGAGGAAGCAGATATGAATGAGGCTTTGTGCTTGCCCTGAAGGAACTCCAACTCTAATTGAGAATTTCTGCTAGGCCAGTATCTTCCTTTTCTTCCTCTCAAGAATTCCTTAACCCAGCCTATTCAGAAAGCTCCCCAGGACAAGAATCAAATTTTCAAAAAATATTGTTTTCAAGGAACTCAATCAGTATGCACATTCTCAGGACCTGAAATAAAATACAATTAATTTGTTCTTTAAAAATCAAGAATTAATCACACAAGTATCCACATATTCAACACATACATTTTCAGATAACGTCCATTACGCCACTGGAGTCACTGTGCCCCTAAAGAGTGGGCCCCTGTCACTGGGACACTCTCCAGCACATCTGCTGTTTATCCGTGTGACCTTGGGCAAGTTACTCAACCTCTTCATTCTCTCATTTCTTAAGTATAAATAAAGAAGCTGTCGTTGTAAAGCAACAGTGCTTGGCACAAAGCGGGTCCTGCAAAATGGTAGCTGTGTGTTATGGGAATTAGTTGCGCTTATAACCATCATGTGTTCAAGCCAAAGTGAAGCCCGCTACGTCACTGCCACCCTTGATGCTCCCAGAGCCCTTAAACACTTCCTCGGGGCACAATTAACAGCTGAGCAGCTGTCCACGTGAAAGAAAGAGATCCCTTTCTCCACAAGCTTCCGAGGGAATTGTCAGTCCAGATGGAGGTTGTCACGGGATAGACAGAACTGGCCATATTTACACTCTCATTAGAGATTCCTGTCTCTGTTAGACTAGAAGCCTCTCTCGTGCACAGATAATCTTTGGTTTTCACCAAGAATAGTCCCTGAGAAATAAATATCCTGTGTCCTGTTTCCCTAGGACTCCCTGTACCCCAAGTCCTTAAGGTAAAAGGAGTCCCCCACCCGCTGCACACAGTCCTGTCCACACCGGCTTCTCCTTGTCCATTCTCTCTGTCGCTGCTTGAATGCCGCCCCCACTTTCTCCTGGGCTTTCGCAACAGTGCCCAGACAGGTCCCCCTGCCCTAACCTGTCATTACCTCGGTCCACTATCCACACTGTCACCAGAGTTACCTTTGAAATCACGACCTGATAATGTAAATTCCTGCTTCATCGTGTTCTCTGCCTTCCTACAGGATATGGCCAGTTTCCCGCCCGACATTTGTAATCTGGATGCAGTATCATTAACTGTGCTGGGTGTGTCCACTTTGCAGCTCAGATCCAGCCCCTCCCACACCCTGTATCTCCTAGCTCCGTGCCCTGGAGGCTGACGGCAGCAAAATCAATGGACCGCCTTCCTTTCTGCCATCCCCCTTTCAACAATGAGGAGCCCCAGCAGGAGACTGTGACCTCCTGGGGAGTCAGTGTGGGCTTCTCTTAGGTGGCCCTTTCCACACAAGTTTCCAGGGTCTGACACCCATGCTCTCTTCTTGCCCTTGTGGTTTCCCTGCACGTTTATAAGTAGTTTTGTGACTTAACATCCTTCCATGTGTCCAGTGCGGCATCTGCTTCCTGTGAGAAGTCTCACTGGTCTACTTACCAATACTCCGTCTTCTTTCTACTTCTTTGTGTGTGTTTATTAGTTTCTGTGTTACGCCTCAGCCACCACCTCCAGCCACAGAACCCCTCCTAACTTTATATTTTTCTGCTTCCACCAAGTTCATGCAATTGCCTTTGTAAAAATATGGATGATAAGTAGATGTAGAGGAAGGAGAAGCAAAGGCAGCTTATTCAGGAAAAAAATATGGACCTTGTTTCTCTTCCTCCTAAGTGAATTCAGCTTCATGTCCTTCAGTCACATGGGGAAGAAAAACATCCTTATGATTTAGATGTGTCCTCTATTGCACAAAAGTATGTAACTTAGAAAAGTAGCACTGCTTTTAGTCACTAAAATGTGACTCTCGGCATATTTGGAAAGTAATAATGTGGAGATATAAGAAATCTCTCATTCTAAAATTAAATCACATGGAAAATAGATAATTATCATTAGCCGAAAATGGACAATGTTTTTGCCCTCTTCATCTTGAGATTTTGACTTGTTTTGTTAGATCCAACAGTACCTCCTCCTTAATGAATGAGTTTCCAGACAGTTCAGTCATTTATTATT